GGGTGGCAGTGCCCACAGGGGTACAATGTCAGGGCCCATGGAGGTGACAGGGACTGTGGTGGCTGACAGGGGCTGAAGGAGATGATGGGAACCACAGGGGATTACATGGCCTATAGGCAGTGACAGGAACCAGTGGGGGTGACAGACCTCAAAGGGGTACAGTGACCACCCCACAAGGGGTGCCAGAGTCTATGGTGGGTGCCATTGCCCCAGAGGGGTAACAGTGACCTGTAGCCAATGTCGTCCCCGCCACGAATGTCCTGGTGGAAGCGCTGCATGTCCCTCATGGCATGGGCGCAAGCGCTGAAGGTCCGGCAGGGCTGTGCTGGCTCCAGGGTGTGGTGCAGGAACACCAAGCCCAAGGGGGGCTGCAGCAGGGCTGGGGTGCCCCGGTAGGGACGGGCGTCCCACAGGCAGCGGGGCATGATGGCTGGGCACTCTGCAGGGACAATAGGGTGGAGGTGCTGAGATCCTGGAGACATAGGAAAAGCCTTGTGTGAAAGGGACATGGAGCTTGATGGGGGCATGGCAGACACATGCCCACATGGGGACAAGGGGCTTGATGGGCCCTTGGGGGAAATGGTGGTGATCACATGGGGACATAGGACTCCTTGGGGACATGGTAGAGGGGATGAGGGACTTGACAGGCCCTTGGGGATATGGTAGAGGCCACGTGGGGACATGGGGCTTGATGGGGACATGGTAGAGTTCACATGGGGACGAGGGGCACGTTGGGGATGTGGTGGTGTCCATGTGGGGATATGGCTGGATATGTCTCCAGAGACACTGGGGACATGGCAAGGGCCATATGGGAACAAAGGGCTGGAGGTGTCCCATGAGCCACTATGGACATGGCAGAGGCCATCTGGGGAAATGAAGCTTGATGGGGACATGGTAGAGGCCTTGTGGGGAGTGACAATCCCTGTCTGGTAGGTGACAAACCCTGTTTAGGGGGTGACAACTCTGTTTGGGGCGTGACAATGCCCATTTGCATGGTGACAATCCCTGTTTAGGGGGTGACCACCCTGTTTAGGTGGTTACACCTCTGCTTAAGGGGTGACAATCCCTGTATGGGAGGTGACTATTTAGCCCTGTTTAGGTTTAACAACCACCATTTGGGAGGTGACAACCCTAATTTGAGGGGTGACACCCCCATTTAGGAGGTGCCACCCTGCCCATACCCACGTAGCGCTCAATGAACTCCTGTGCTGCCCTACGAGCCACAGCTGCCACCTCCTTTGTCCCCACGTCCCTCAGGAGCTCCAGGCTGGGCGACAGGGTCTTCAGCACCCCCAAAATTGCTGCCACCTCCTTCTCCAGCCGTCCCTGTCCCGCTAGAGCTCCAAAATCCCGGCGCCGGTAACTGCTGGGGGGTCTCCTCTCTTCCGAGCCATTCCCGGTCCCATAGTAGCCCTGGAGCAGCTCAGCCAGTGGGAGGGGTCCCTGGGCCAGCCACGCCCCCAGGAGTACCCCATCCATGGCCCCGATGACCACGGGGTCGGGGACAGGGGACAGGGGACCCCTCAAGGTGTAATTTTGGGGGTTCTCCACGTCGTCCCAGCAGCCATCGGGTCCCAACGTGGTGCTGTTGTTATCACCCTCCTGTGCCAGCAGGAAGGATGTCCCCAAAGCCTCAGCGATGGTGACAGCCAAGAGGGGGTCGGTGGGTGGGTTGAGGGTGGGGAGGGGTCGTCCAAAGCCGCCAGATCTCAGTCCCGCCTCGATGCCGGCCAGGAGGGGACCGAGGGCCACCGTAGAACCGTCAGGAGCCAGCACCGCCCCCAGCTCCGGAGTCGCGGGGTCGTGGTGGAGGAGCTCGGTCAGGAGCTGCCACTGGCCCGGGGTGAGAGCCGGAGGGCGTTCGGGAGTCCCGGCGGGCTCGCCCAGCACTGCCCGGCACCCCGGGGTGCTGCAGACTCCCAGCTGCCTCCCCAAGGCCGTGGCAGTGCCAGGGGAACTCCCCTGGGCTGGGGACTCGAGGACGTCCAGGATGGCGAGTACCGAGTCCATGTGGCGCGGGGGAACAGCTGGGGACACAGCTGGGGCACGGGGGGTGGGAAGTGAGGAGGGTTAAGGGGTGAAGAGGGAGTTGGAAGAAGGGAAGGCACCCAAAAATGTGCCAAAAGCAAGAGGAGGGCATCCAAAATTGGGGAAAAGGATGGAAAAGTGGGGAAAGGATCCAAAAGAGGGGGAAGGGACCCAAAATAGGGGGAAAGGGTTCAAACGAGGGGGAAAACGACACAAAATAAGGGGAAAGGAATCAAAATTAGTGGGAGGAAGACCCAAAAGAGGGGGAAAATAATCCAAAATAGGGTAGAAAGGACTTAGAATAAGGGGAAAGTATCCAAAACCAGAGGGGAAAGGACCCAGAATAGGGAGGGAAAGACACAAAATAAGGAGAAGAAACCCAAAAGATGGAAAAGGACCTGAAATGGGGAGAAGGGACCTAATATAGGGGGAAAAGGACCCAAAATCAGAGGACAAAGGGTGTTGTGCATCGTCATGGGGTGTCCCAGGGTGTCGTGGCATGTCCCTACCTGTGCCGGGGCCAGCGCAGACACTCAGTGCCAGGAGTAGCCACAGGAACATCCTGAGGGACACGGGGACACCTTGAAGGACACAGAGACACGCTGTGGGACACAGAGACACACTGTGGAGCAGGGGGACCTCCTGCAGGACATGGCCTGGGACTTTGGCCCCACTGGGGGCAGGGTACAAGGACGTAGGAGGAGGGACACAGAGGCACAGGGGGACGACAGGGAGACACAGGGAGGGGAGGGAACATGATGCCACCAGGACACACATCAGGGGACAATGTCGCCATATCTATGGGGACGCTGCCACCAGGACATGTCAGGGGACACTGCCACCAGGCCATGTGACCTTGCGTGTGACACTGACTCTTGCCCTGTCCCCATGGGTGGTTGGGGTCCCCTGAGCTCAGTGGCCCTGGCACACCCTGGTGGCTGTCACTCACTTCTGGGACACTTGTCATCAGCTGAACAAGTTCCCCGTCTCGCCCTGGTGAGTGGTGACATTCAGCTGGGACACCGCGGTGGTGACAGTGGGGAAATGGTAGCAGGAACTGCATCAGGCAGTGCTTGCTATGGCTCAGATGAAGGTGCTGGTGGCACTTGGGGTGGAGCAGGTGATGGCATTGATGCTGCCCCAGTTTGTGACCCCATCCATGTCCGTGCCCCTCCCTACTCATGTCACTGTCCCCCCAAAGCCCCCATCCATTTCCACATCCCCCCATATCCGTATTCTACCCATATCTGTTTCCCCCCAGGTCCCCATCCATGGCCACATCCCTATTTATTTCCATGTCCATACCTATGTCATTGTCCCCCACATGTTCTCATTTAAACCTTAGTTGAAAATCTCTATTTTTACCCCAATTGCAGAGATTTTGAAGGGATAAACTGTGGAGGCCAGCAAGGCAACTAATAGTGTAGCCACTCTGCCCTGGAGAGAGAGCCCATAGGCTTGAGTTAGCCACACACCTCCCAGGGAGAGGCTCTTGGTTGAGAGCTTTTTTGTCATGGTGAGTTGTTAAGTTACCCCCAACGTGCCTTTCCCCTGTATGCATATAATTTGTATCTTATTTGCCCTTCCCCCTTGCTCTACCCCTGTGCCCTCAGACCATTGGCCCTGTTGTTCTACCCTGCCCCCTAGCATCCCTATATATATATCCCTATATAATCCTGGCTCTCCCAGAGCCCAGGGTCAGTCTTTGTCCTTGGACCCCTTTGTGAGGAAGAGAATAAAGGCTTCTTGTGGAACTCCATACAAGGACTCCTGCCCCTTTCTTCAGAGTCCCTGAGGAACTGTGGCCACCAAATAGCCGTTTTCAAGTCTAGAGCTGAAATCACTGGGGCAAGGCACACATGCCTGTGTGCCCAAGGGGTGTTCCATTACAGATGCTTCCCTGGGAAGGTTGTGGCATCCTCGCCCATAGCAACAATGAACAGAAACAAGAAGAAAACAAAGACCAAAACAAATGGAATTATGTGTCCCTGCCAGATGAACAACCAAGTGCTTGGGTGGGTGGGAAGAACTATTTTGGAGGGATTTCAACCCCACTGTTTCCAAAATTGAGGGTTTTGCCACACTCTGTTCCCATTTGGCTATGGAAGATGCCCATGGGCCTGAGAGAATTAAAAGGATGGATTTATGTTGGAGAAGACCTCCAAAGCAAACCAGTGTTGCTTGATGCCACCAGAAGAAGCAAAGACTGAGATTTTTCTGGGGTCAGAAGTTGACAAATCTGCTCTCCATGATGGATTTCTGACATTGGTCTCTTGATGTGCCCAGGGGGAGCCAGGAAGATGTGGAGCCCCCCAGCTAGGTGTCTTCCCAACACGGATCACTGGGGCTCTGCCCACCAGGTGTCACAGCACAGATTCCCCGATGGGGGATGGAGATGGAGCAGCGCACAAAACTCTTCCTGCACTCAGGGCACTGGCAGGGCTCCCCTTTTGGGTGCCTCCATTGGTGTTTGGTCAAGGCTGAGCTCTGTGAGAAGTTCTTCTTGCACTCAGGACACTCACAAGGTCTCTCCCCAATCTGGCTCCTCAGGTGGACAATCAAGTCAGAGCTCGACCTGAAGCTCTCTCCACACTCATTGGTCCAACCCCCTGTGTGGATTGTCATGTGGTGCATCATGTGGGAGCTTGTCCCACATTTTGAGCAATTCTGGGGCTTCTCCCCATGGTGAAGTTGCTCATGGACCCCATCTCTGAGCTCTGGTTGCATCTGTGGTCCAGGGTGGGTCTTTCCTCCTTAGATCCCTGTGAACTGCATTTGCAGACCCTCCTCATGTCTGCAATCCCTGGATCTCTTTTGGATTCTTGTGCCGTGGAGCTGCTCAAAATGGCCTCTTCCACAAGGTTCTGCCACGTACATTTGATCTCCCTGGTCTCCATCCTCAGCTCCTTGTCTGGGGGAGGAAGGACAAGGAGAGGATGGGATTTGCCTCCATGCCAGAGGGAAGGGGAAGGAGATCCCCCCGCAATGCATCCCCAGCACGATGGCGTCAGCAACGGGATTGTCCTGCAGCCGGGGGCCATGCTGGGCTTGGAGATGGAGCAGGAGAGAGGGGGAAAGGGGTAGTGGCTTCCTCCTCACCTGCCTGCGGCTCCCGGGGCATCTTCCTCTTCCTCACAGCCTCCTCCTCCACCTGGCCAAGGCTTGGGAATGGGAAATCCTGGTTTAGGGGGGAAAACAAGGGATGAGCACGTTGAGTTTGAAGGTCCTTCTGCCCAAGTCCATCTCTAGAATTCACTGGGCATCTGGGGTCCAAAAAAACCTCCTAAACACCAAGATTCAGCCCTGAAAATGCCTCCCAGGGGTTCCCTGTCTCTGGTCTCTCCCCTTTGGTGTTCAGGGGTTCCCCCCTGTCCCAGCTTGCTGCTGCTTGTACTGGGGGTCCCCCATGTACTCAGTCCTAGTCTAGTCACTCCTCAGGCTGCTGGGAGTCCCAGGAATCAATTTGGTCTCTCCACTTAGGGATGCTGGGGATTTTTGGGGTCCTGGGGTCCCTTCTCCTCTTATTCTCTGCTTCAGGGTACAGGGGATCAAAGGAGTCCCCTCCTGCCTCTCTCCAGGCTGTTGAGGATCCTGCGAATCATGACACTGTCCCACTCTGTACTCCCCTCTTTGGAGTCCTGGGGAACACAGGCCTCTGCTCCTTCAGGCTGCCTCTGCTGGCAGCTGCCACTGGGATCCCCCAGTGTCCCTCCAAGAGCCATTTTCTGCTCAGCTTTGGAGCTCTTCATCTCAAATCACAAACCCCCCCCCAAAAAAAAAACTCAGCCCATGGGCCCCCCAGGATATCTGGGCCAAGCTCTTCATCCCCCGTCACCTGTGAGATGGGAGGGGCAAGATCCCACAGGTGGGGGAGCTGTGAATTCAGGGAGCTCCCAACTTCCTTCTTCCTTCTCCTTTTCTTGATCTTTCTTTGTCCCTCCTCTTCTTCCCACTCTTCCTCTTCCATCCCTTCTCCTCCCTTGTTGGTGTTAATTTTTTACAAAGGGGACAGGACCGCCAGGTGACGTGTCATGAGCTTTATTCAGGCACCAGTCTCAGCTACATCTACCGGAGGCGGCACAAGCTTACATCTCCCACAGCAGCTTCAGATCTCTTTGTTAAAGAATATTTTATAAGTTTTTCAGCCAATAGCAAATTGCTAAAACTTACAGACAGTTGTTCTAACCAATCACTAAAAGCACACATACACCTGCTTCAAACAATCCTTGCTTGTTTGCTTTCTATTAACAGTATACAATACTCCATTATTAAACTTAAAACCTTCTACTACCTTAGTAAACATATTTTTTCAGCAGTCTTAAGATCTATCTTAGCCAAGCCTAAAATCTCAACTATTGTTTCCTTGCATGTTGTATTTTTATATCTTCTTTAGTTTCAGGCTTTGCAGCTGCAGCTAGGTCTAACTTCTCTGCTTTTTCTTTTCTAAGGCCTATTTTCACAGCTTCTGAGAGTCTTCTTATTTTTACTGTTTCCCACATTCCCTAATCCCACCTCCTTCTCTTACTTCCATCCTTTATCGAGCTTCTTCATCCCTCCTCTTCATCCCTCCGGGACAGGTTAGGATGGGCAGCGCGGGGCTCTTGGCTGCTCCCACCCAGTGGGGGTGGGGGGAACCCTACCTGGGGAAAAGGAAAGGGAAACTGTGAAAACTGGGGGCTGCAGATCCAAATTGGGGCTGGCTGGGGACCCTGGCTGGGGACTCCCATACCTTGGGGCTCCTCTGGGGAGATCCAGGAGGGGTGAACACAGAGAGAGCTGGGGATCCCAGGAGTGGCATCACTGGGAGGGACTAACTGTTGTGGTTTTAAACCAGTAACTAAAAAAACTACTTATTTCTTGTTGTGAGATATGGATTAGAACAAGAGCAAAACAGGCTTAAGACTTAAAAGGAATAAAGACAGTTTATTAACAAACTACAAGAATAAGAATACCAGAATAAACTTTCAGAAAACCCCTTATCTTCCACATCTTAACTATTTCTCTGTACACATGACAACATAGAGACAAATAACTTTAGGACTTTGGTGGTTAAAAACAGTCTTAATTCTTGCTACAGTCTTTCATCAGTCTTTGTAGAGAAACAGAAGTCTTTTTCTGTTAGCTTACGGAGTTTCTCACAAGAAAACTATTTTTCATCATAGTTTTCTATTTCTCTAATGCCAGCTGCCCGGAAATCTGTCATTAGATCTTCTCCTCCCATTTCACATCTCTCCGAGGTGTGTATGGGTCACTGAGTTTAGAGATTTTATTTTTAAGGATAAGTCATTCAAAGGCAGAAGTCTTCTTCATCTGTCTCTGTGAGCCTTCCTGGAAAACAGTTTTCTCTTTGCCTCCCAAAGCTTCAAAATCTTCACTCAACTCAATTCCAGCAACTCAGTATCACAAGTACTCTCTCTCTCTTTTGCTCAAAACTTACACTTTGAATACTTTGTTTCCTCTCAACACTCTTATCATGAATTAAAGGAGTCTTTTTATACTATTATTGTCCATCTCCATAGCTTTAACAGAAAGATATTTCAGCTGTAAAGCATCTCCTTATTCTCTCTTTCTTATTTAAACTTAACACTTTTCTTCACTGTCTTTGGTGGTTCTATGATGTCTTCTCTATGTTGATTGTCTCTCTTTCTCTGTCTTTCTGAGAAAAGGAGTAATCTGTATGTTTATCCAGGTAGTAAAAGAATTAAAAGCTTTAAGAAAACTGCAAGAGTTCATGGTGTTAAGTTTCAGTCTAGCAACAAAAACTGAAAACCAAGCTCGGCTGACTAGCGCTGCTTCTTTTCCCCCTCCCTCCCCACTCCACCGCGGCCTGGTCGGCCTGGAGATGGGGGGAGGAGATCGAGACAGAGCCCTGTTACCTCTTCAGATGCCAGAAACTAAAGAAGGCAAGAGAATTCTGTCTGTACTTCTTAAGGGAGTGTTTACAAGTTGAATTCACTTTTTAATGGTCAGATCTGCTGTCAATTCTTGAAAATGACTGATAATTAGTCAGGAAGAAAAACTCCCATCAGCCACCAGCAGCTTCAACTTCCTCTCCCTCTAAGCTGTCTTAAAGGTAAAGCTACCCCATGACACTAACTTATACTGGGATCATAGTGGGAGTGAATAGGAGCCTACAGGGGGCAATTGAGACCATGTTGGGGGCAAATGGGATATACTGCGAGTGACTGGGATCATGCTGAGGGTTACTAGGAACAGATGTGGGCAACTGGGATCATGCTAGGAGCAACTGGCAGGAACTGGGAGTGACTGGAATCATGCAGAGGGTGACTGGGAACAACTGGGATGAACTGGGGTCATCCTGGAGGTGAGTGGGATCATACTGGATGTGAGTGTGACTACACTGAGGCTGACTGGGAGTGGTTGTGAGCAAATGGGATCATGCTCAAGGAATGGAACTGGAGGTGACTGGGAATATGCTGGAGGGAACTGGGGTACACTGGGAGAGACTGGGAGTGCCTGGAACAAAAGTGAGGGTGAAAGGGAGCAACTGGAACCATGTTGGGTGCAACTGGTTCATAAAGGCAGTGGCTGGGACCACACTGGGGTCAAATTTGGATCATATTGAGAGTTGCCACAGTGGGGTGGATGTCAAAGGTGCCGCGACCTTCCTGAAAAAGCGTCCTGAGAAGGATGGCTCTCAGTGGCACAGGCACGTCCCTCTCCTGGCCCGGTGAGAGGTGTCCAGCTCAGCAGCAGCTCTCTCCCAGGTGACACAGGGAATAAAAGGACTAGAGCTCTAGCTAGTGATTCCACAGAGAAATCAGCCTTTATTGGTGCAGGGCCCGCTGCGAAGGGGGCTAGCACAGAAGCTACACTCAACTGCAGAAAATGTAGGAGTCTAGAAATGCAGGGACATTTCTCTGTCTATTCAATTCTTTAAAAAATACATCAATCATATATAATCTTGTCTATTCAATTCTTTAAAAAATACATCAATCATATATAATATTGACAGAAAGGTTTCCAAATATCCCTGAACAAGCCAGAGTTTGCAAGAAACAAAATAGAAAGTAGAAAAATGTTTTTTTTAACAGAGAGGTGAAAATATAGATTTTAAGAGAGTTTCACACGTGAAGTAAAGATGGAGGGAAAAGGGTGTAGTTTTCAATCCTTCTTCTTCCTTCTTCTCCATGATTCTGCAGTTTATAGAAGCACAAAATATGATTGGTTTAGAGTTAGTCGCACTTTTAATTACGTGAGTAGATATAGAAAACTTATTTGTTGAGATATAATAACAATACACATGTCTGTAGTTAATAGGATAAAAATTAGTATAAAGGTGAAAAGACCGCGTGGTTTGGGGCCATTTTGTATCATTAGTACGAGATGAGCCAAACTGTGGTGATTTAAGCTTGTGCAGCTAGTCTAGATAGACCTGCCAAGTTTTGTGAGGATCCTTCAATAAACACGAGAAACCAGAATCTAATGAGCCCGGGAGTTTTCTTCGAATAATAAGGACTGAGATAAGTGTGACTCCCCACGAGGGAGGATCCCAAGGGAATTCAGCCCAAAGGAGGCTGAGAGACTAGAGAAAAGTATATCCACAGAAAATTCAGCCCAAAGGAGGCAAGGAGAGAGAAGTCACAGAAAAAACAGGGTTTATATAGGGAAGGAGAGGGGTGGGGGGAACTTGGATACAAGCAACAGGTTGGAGTGACAGGGAAGAAAACCAATGGGATACAACAAATCAACATAAAACTTGCAAGGGTCTCTGGGAGGGACACTATGAGAGAAGGTGCCTTGCCTATGGAGAAGCTCTCCAGGGGAGCGCCACAGTCCTCTTGCTGGCCGATTCTTCAGCCCCCACAAGAGTGACTGGACTCATACTGGGAGTACCTGAGAATGACTGGGAACATACCATGCACATCATCCTTCATATTGCGGGTAACTGACAGCAACTGGAGCATGCTGGGAGCAGATTGCATCATACTGGGACTGAGTTGATTTAGGAAGCAACTGGAACCTTGCTGGAGGCAAGGATATTCTGAGCATGACTGGGAATGACTGGATGCATGCTGGAGGCAACTGGGATATTCTGAGCATGACTGGGATCATACTGGGATCACTAAGACCTTACTGGGGCCACTGGGAGTGTCTGGGAATGCCTATGGACATGCTGAGGGCAACTGGGATATACTGGGAGTGTCTGTAAACATACTGGGGTGACTGCAAACAGCTGGGCCCATGCTGGGGGAGATTGGGATCACACTGAGAGTGACAGGAATTGTAGAGGAATGGCTAGAGAGCAAAGGTCATATTCCCATGCAGCAGTTAGCTGGGAAAGAGCTAGACAATGGAGTACAGTTGGTGTGAGATGTTGCAAAAGTCAGGAAGGCCTTGGTGTGTTGCAAAAGTCAGGAAGGCCTTGGTGATAACTGTTAACTGAGAACGGGATGCTGTGATCAGAAGAATGTGAATTCAGCATAGATGAGCGATCACAGGAATGTGAAACTAGGTGGAGTTGACCTTAAATGAAATATCCAATAATGAGCTTGCTTTTGCACTATGTATGAGCCTAATTAGTGATGCTATATAAGTGGTCCTAGAGTTACCAATAAATGAGATTTGCTGATCATTCATATTGAGTGCTGCATTTTCTCCCGCCAAACTCTTCAAATGGCGCCCGAACAGGGACCTGAGAGACCCTTGGAACCTTTGGAATCTTTGGGACTTTAAAAAGGAGTTGGAGTCAGCCAAGTGAGTGGCGACAGGAGACGGGTCCTTTGCAGCAGGGACGGCGAAAAGCAACAGCTGTGCTGCATTCCAGGCAACCTCGGAGGAGGGTTCTGATCACACAGTAGGGTTGCCACGCCCAGGAGACCTTAGAGGAGAGTCCTGCCGTAACGTGCTGCCGAAACCTTGTAGGGCTGCAACAGCGCTGACGGTAAGATGGAAAGGCAAGCAGCATATGATTTATTTACCTGCTTTTTAGAAAAGCGACAGGTTAAAAACTTTGATTTGCACAAGGAGCTTCCTGAACTTCTTGCTTATGGGTATGCCCAGGGTTGTTTTCAGAATCCCCATACAGTCCATGAATTAAGTGAGTGGTGAAAGTTTGGAGAAAAATTGTGGGAAGCTACTTTAGATAATGATAAAACTGCTAAAAAATTGGGAAAGCTGTGGCGGACAGTTCATAATGTTCTTTTGCAGTATCAGGCTGAACAGACAGCTGCCACAAAGGCATCTGCAGCTATGTCAAAAAATAAATTATTAGAGGGAATTAATGAATGTCCATTGCCACCCGCCACGAACACAGTAATCTTGACCCCCCCCCCACGCAGTCACTGACCTCTGCTGCAGCTGCTAATTCTTTTGTGTTGTCTCAAATTCCTTCACCTACTAACCTTGATTCTGGAACGGAGCCTTCGGCACCGTTACCATCCTCCCCTATGGGAAATAAATCTGTCCCTGGGGTAGGACATGAGTTAGGTGGGACTGTTGCACGGGAAAGAAGGGAGACATGGGTTTGCATTAGCACGGAATATTTTGCAAGAGGGAGATCAGGAAATGACAGACGCTGTACTGGAAGTAGTATGTCCTGTAGCCTTTGCACCGATGCAAGGGGGAGGAATACAAGCTCAAATTACAGCTTTAGATTGGAAATGGTTATCACAGTTGCAATCTACAGTCAGTCAGTTTGGAGTGACCAGTGAACTGGTTAGACAAATGACTGATTATTTGTGGGGTACACAGATTTTGTTGCCTGCAGATTGTAGGAGTATTATGAAATTGATTCTTACTAAGCATCAGCAGTTGTTGTTTAATGCACACTGGCAAGCTTATTGTCAAGAAAGTGTAAATGTGCAAAGACAGGCAGGTGATCCACTGCATAGATTAACTTTGGAAGAACTTACAGGCTTAGGAGCATATAGTCAAGTGGAGGCACAAGCTATTTTGGGACCAGACAAGTTGAGAGAAGGAATGTGGTTAGTGCGAGCTGCATTTGATCGGATTAAGGAGCCAGGAGGTATTCCATCTTATATGGGTATTAAGCAAGGGGCGAGATGAGCCATTTGGAGCATTTATTGATAAATCAGCTGCAGCTATAGAATGGGCAGGTGTTCCTGAATATATGAGGGGAGCATTATTAAAACAATGTGCCTTACAAAATTGTAATCCAGCAACTAAGTCAGTTTTAAATTCCCTAAGTGCTAATTGGACTATTGAGGAGGCATTAGAGAGAATGTCTAATATACCAGTGGGGTCACAAGCAATGTTAGTCCAAGCAATTAAAGAACTAGGGCAAGGGTTAGAGAAGCAGGCTGCATCTACTCAGAGTCAGGTTTTAGAAGCTCTAGAAAAGCAGGCTGCATCTACTCAGAGTCAGGTTTTAGCAGCTCTTGCACCCCTACAAGTGGCTACAACTAACAATGGCAGGATTCCAGCCTCCCGATTCAAATGTTTTCGCTGTGACAACCTTGGACATATTCGGAAGGAATGTACTGTACCATCTGTTTGGTGCAATCAGTGTCGGTCCAATATCCACACTGATAATGCCTGCCGCCGGAGATCGGGAAACGGGAAAGCCAGCGTGAGAAGCCACCGCGTCAGGACAAAAATAGCAGCTGCTGGAACATCAGTGCAACTTCCCTCCAGCCTGCCACAGCAGGGAGCCTCGGTCTGGACCTGGCAGCCTCAGTGACTGTGGATTTATTGACATCACAGCCCTAGAAGATTCCCATGGGAATTATTGGACCAGTGATAATAAATGGAAAAGCTATGGGTGCAATAGTGTTGGGGCGTTCATCTGCTAGTCTAATGGGACTGTTTATTTTACCTGGAGTAATTGATGTGGACTATTCTGGTGAAATATATATCATGGCATATACACTGACACCACCAACTAGAATTGATAAAGGACAGCGAATTGCACAATTGGTGCCGCTGCCACAATATACCCATCAGTTGACACCATTGAAAAATCAATCACGGGGTATGAGTGGATTTGGTTCCATAGGAGGACTTACATTGCTTACCCTGGACTTAAACACTCGACCCAAGCGAACAGTTGTTCTCAATTACAATGGAGAATCCCACCAATTAGAAGGACTATTGGATACTGGGGCGGACTCAAGTATTGTTGATCCACGGTATTGGCCTCAGGAATGGCCTTTGTTGCCTAGTATGGTGACTGTTACAGGGGTGGGAGGTTTAACTTTGGTGAAAAGGTCTCCACAAATCCAGGTTCAATTAGATGGGAAGGTTATCAGTTCTGTTTTGTCAATTGTTCCATTACCAGACAAGGTTCAATGTCTAATTGGACGAGATATTTTGTCACAACTTGGTGTTATTTTGACCAATGAGCACCCTTTAGAAGAGAGGCCATTGTTTGGACTTTCCCACTCCCACTTAAATGGATAATTCAGGAACCAGTATGGGTTGAACAGTGGCTTTTAAAAAGGGAAAGTCTGCAACAAGCTCATCAATTAGTGCTGGAACAATATCAGCAAGGACATTTAAAGTTGTCCACAAGTCCTTGTTTTTTGTTTATTAAAAAGATTTATGTTATTAAAAAGATTTTTGTTATTAAAAAGAAATCTGGGAAATATCGATTGCTGCATGACTTACGTACAGTAAATGAACAAATGGAGCCAATGGGAGCACTACAACCTGGTTTGCCCAATCCTGCAATGTTACCAAAAGATTGGCCCTTGTTAATAATTGATTTAAAGGACTGTTTTTTCACTATCTCACTGCATGAACAGGATACTTGCAGATTTGCTATTACCTTGCCTTCATTAAATCGAGCAGAACCAGACAAGAGATTTGAATGGACAGTTTTACCACAGGGTATGCGTAATTCTCCTACCTTGTGCCAGCTTTATGTTGACAATGCTTTGCAGCCACTACATGTTCGGTGGCCTACAACTATTACTTATCACTATATGGATGATATTCTTTTTGCTCGATCACAACCTTTTGCAGAAAAACAAGTTAAGGACATTCAAATACAACTACTTCAGAATGGACTGACTGTTGCACCTGAGAAAATACAGCTGTCATCCCCATGGAAATATCTCGGGTGGACTTTAACTGAGCAGTATGTTGCCCCTCAGAAACTGTCATTAAACATGTCACTTCATACTGTTCATGATGCTCAGCGATTGCTAACTTTTACAACCGTTACGACCTTTGTTAAAAGGTACTGATCCTACAGCACCTATACAGGTCACCAGTGAACAACAAGAAGCTCTCAATAAAATAATAGACTGTATCCAGACAGGTGTTGTTTATAGGCGAGATCCAGACTTGGACATTAACCTTACTGTATGGTTTGGACCTCAACGTCTCATTGGTGCTTTAACGCAGCAACAAAAGAAAACAGGGGAGATATGGGTATTAGAGTGGTTGTTGCCACCACTACAACAGAGACATACCTTAATTCAAAAAATTGAAATTTTGATATGGGTATTAGAGTGGTTGTTGCCACCACTACAACAGAGACATACCTTAATTCAAAAAATTGAAATTTTGGCAAATTTGATAAAGCAAGGGAGGAAGCGATTGTGGCAAATTATGGGAGCAGATCCAGCTGTAATTCAGATACCAATAAAAAAGGACACTTTAGATTGGTATTTAATTCACAGCTCCACATTGCAAGAAGCATTGCTTGACAATAGCAGTGTGATCAGTACTGAGGAAGTGCCTCAAATACCATTACGATGGATAGGCCAGCAGAATTGGATTGAGAAGCCCAAACGATCATTTGTGTCGTTACCAGGGGCATCAACTGTGTTCACTGATGCTGGAAAGAAATCTCGCACAGCTGCTGCTACATGGCAAGATTCAGAAGGACAATGGAATCATCATATTATTCCAGCTCAAAAGGAGGATACACTACAAACTCTGGAGTTAGTCGCTGTTGTTTGGGGTTTGGTGCAGTTTAAAGGTCCTGTTAATGTGGTAACTGATTCTTTATATGTTGCAGGACTAAGTGAACGTATTGAAAATGCAGACATTAAGGAAGTAAAAAACCCTTGTTTATATGAACTATTTTTACATCTTCAAAGAGCAGTAAAGTTGAGAACTGCTGCCTTTGCTATTATCTATATTAGTAGCCACAAATGGGATGTGGGTTTATAAGAAGGAAATGCTGGGGCAGACCAATTGGTTTCTTTGACACAAAATAGTCCTGTCCCACCACAGACATTAGCTAGAGAAGCTCATGCCATCTTTCATCAAAATGCAAAAGGTCTCCATCGGGAGTTTCAGATACCTTTAGAGGAGGCTCGGGCTATTGTCAAAGCATGTCCCATTTGTAGTTTTCACAATCAAGGCACTGGATTGGGTCTTGGGGTAAACCCTAGAGGATTACAGGCTAATGAGTTGTGGCAAATGGATATTACTCATGTTGCAGAGTTTGGGAGAGTTAAGTATGTACATGTCACCATTGATACTTACAGTCATTACATTTGTGCCACAGCTCAATCTGGTGAGAAAGAGCCATTTAGTAAGTTGTTTTGCAGTCATGGGAGTTCCACGTTCTATTAAAACAGACAATGGGCCTGCTTATTGTAGTAGTAGAATTAAGCAGGTGAGGCAGTCATGGGGAATCAAACACATAACAGGGATTCCTCATTCCCCCACAGGTCAGGCAATAGTAGAACGAGCTAATGGTACTTTGAAGCAATATCTGAACAAATTTAGGGAGATCAAAGATCCACAAGAACAATTATTGCGTTGCTTATTTGTTTTAAATTTTCTGTGTATTTTTGGAAACAGCGATTTGCCTGCAGCAGTACGTCATAGTGCACCTGAAGCAGAGAAAACCCAAAGTCCAATATGGGTTCGCTATAAGGATCCAAAAACAGGACTGTGGGGAGGTCCTAGCAAGGTACTGTATTGGGGACGTGGTTATCTTTGTGTGTCTACCCCCACAGGGCCTGTCTGGGTGCCGAGCCGATGGACTAAACCTGCTGATCCCAGTGGTTTACCTTCAGCTGATCCAGAAAATTCAGCAGATACTTCTCGCTCTCTACCATCAACATAGAGACGGGATCTGATGAACTCTCACATTCAAATCTTGTGTACAGTACCAGATTGTGAATGTTATCCTTTTGTATGTTACATTTGTAAGGTGTGTAAGGAAAGGTGGTGGATACATTCTAAGTGGGGTAGATCTCCAAGAGGGATTTGTACAGAGTGTTATAACTTTGAAAGAAATTTGACTGAGATTGCGTTACAAGAAGGTGTGCAAACAGGACAATTTGAAAAAGGATCTGATAGATGGTGGGAGATTTTTGCTTTTGGGGTAAATCCAGAAAACTATTGTTATCATCCTAATACCCCTTTACCGTTTATTATTGAAATAAACACAATACGTTGTCGTAAGAAACTTACACAAGTCAGGTGTGATATCCCAGGGGTAAAAAATAAAAATTGGGAGCAATTCTTAAAATGGCAGTCTCGAGAGAAAGGGTCTTTCCCTGAAAGTTATCCCTGCTGCTGGGAAGATGGAACACCCCGTGGTTCGAAGCAACCGAATCAACGGGCGAGGCAGAGGAGTAAAAGAAAAGGGAAGCAAGATCCAGCCAAGATGCTGGGTGAACTGCTGCAATCCTTTTAAAGTCCTTAAGGGACTATCTCTGATCAGGTTGTTATTATTGTAGTTTACCATGATAAAGGAAAATGAAGGGTTTTTGATTGACATGGATGAAAGACAAAATATGTGGGTAACGTGGGCTAATCAAACTGGACAGGATAATTTTTGCCTTTCAATGGCTACCCCTTCGGATCCTTTTCGAACTTGTTTAGTGGGCGCACCTTTAGATGATTCACTCAGTGCCACAATGTTTAAAAACTGGACAAAGAATTGGAAAACACCCAAGGAAGCAAACAAAACATTATGTGAAATTCCATCAGGTAAATTCAGGATCAATATCTGTGACAAAGGTTTAATTCAGGCAAATCCCATTGGTGCTCAAAATTGGTACATTGCTACAGGTTTAAATGTTACTGGGTCAGAACCACAAGAGTTAAGACTGTTAGGTTCAACCCTTAGCAATTACTGTTTAAATTTTGTCAATAGGGCTAGGAACAATCATGTAAAAAAGTCTCATGGGCCAAATGGTACAAATGTTTCTCCACAAAATTTGCTATATTTGCAAAATAATGATACATACTGTGGCAATTGGTCTCGTAAAGTAAATTCTAGCAATACACCTTTACAATTACCACCTGGTGTTTTTCTAATTTGTGGAGATCGTGCATGGCAAGGACTGCCAGCAAACACTTATGGAGGGCCTTGTTATTTTGGGAAATTGACATTGTTTGCACCCACTATACAGCAACTATTAAGAGCCAATAGAACCAGGTTACGAAAAAGGAGAAGTGTGTTTCAATTGGGACCAGAATGCAAAGATCAGGTTGAACTTTGGGAACAACCTACAGTGATTGTGTCATCTATTTTTACACCTGGAGTTTCTAGTGCTCAAGCCTTCACACAGTTACGACGACTGGCATGTTGGACAGGAAAACAGTTTAATATTACATCAAAGGTTTTGTCTGATTTGCTTTTGGATATGAACAGTGTTAGGCATGCTGTATTGCAGAATAGAGCTGCTATTGATTTTTTGCTATTAGCACAGGGCCATGGCTGTGAAGACTTTGATAGGATGTGTTGCATGAATCTTTCTGACCATTCAGTGTCTATTCACACTCGTCTTCAACAACTACAGAGAAATATGAAAAAATTAACCATGGAAACAAATCCATTAGAGGAATGGTTTCAATCCCTAGGTCTCACAGGATGGTTAAAAAATTTGGCACAAATGGCAATTGTTGTTATATTGATCATTGTGATTGTGTTACTGTTTATTCCTTGCATACTGCAATGCTTACAAAACATGATAAAAAGGGCTACTTCTACAGTTTTGTTAGTACAAAAAGAAAACAGGGGAATTGTAGAGGAATGGCTAGAGAGCAAAGGTCATATTCCCATGCAGCAGTTAGCTGGGAAAGAGCTAGACAATGGAGTACAGTTGGTGTGAGATGTTGCAAAAGTCAGGAAGGCCTTGGTGATAACTGTTAACTGAGAACAGGACACTGTGATCAGAAGAATGTGAATTCAGTATAGATGAGCGATCACAGGAATGTAGAATTAGGTGGAGTTGACCTTAAATGAAATATCCAATAATGAGCTTGCTTTTGCACTATGTGTGAGCCTAATTATTGATGCTATATAAGTGGTCTTAGAGTTACCAATAAATGAGATTTGCTGATCATTCATATTGAGTGCTGCATTTTCTCCCGCCAAACTCTTCAAGGAATCATACTGGGATTGACTGGGAGTGGCTGTGAGCAACTGGAATCATGCTGAAAGCAACTGGGAGGAGGTGGAAGTGACTGGGAGCATGACAGGGGTGACAGGGATATACTGAGTGAGACAGGGAGTCACAGGGATCATCCTGGAGGCTACTGGAGTCATGCTGGCATTGACAGGGAGCAACTGGGAGCACACTGGGAGGCACTGGCATCATACTGGGAGGGACTGGGATCATACTGAGAGTGGCTACAATCATACTGGGATCATATTGGGTGTAAATGTACTCTGACTGGAGGTTACTGGGAGCTACCATGCTGGCAGTACTGGGAGCTACCATGGCCAGGCCCATGCTGGCAGCCAACTGCACACACACTGGGAGGAACTGGAAGCAACTGGGAATGATAGGATGCATGGTGGTGACAACTGGGATGTACTGGTAGTGACTGAGATAAAACTGGGGGCAACTGAACAATGCTGAGGTAACTGGGAGTGCCTGGCAATGACTACAGACATGCTGATGGCAACTGGGATATACTGAGCGTGTTTGTAAGCATACTGGGGTGACTGGGAACACACTGGGGGTGATCGAGATTAACTGATATTTACAGCCTTCACTGGGGACAACTGGAAATGATCCCCTTGTTCCCCACCAGCCCTCCCTCCGGCACTGTCGCATCTCCCAACACCTGCACCATCAGGATCTGCCCAGAGCAGCTCAATGGCTCCAGTGCTGGGGCTGGTGGCGCTTCTGGGGGGTGAGGGGGAATAAGACCCCAGGCACTGGGACCCTGAACTGCCATTCTTGACACCAGGACCCTCCTATTCCTCTTATCCTGCACAGCGACCCCACTGGATCCTCTATTTCTGGGCATCAGGGCCCCCCTGCTCCCCCTTTCCCAGCCATCCCATGGCTTCCAGACTCCAGACTTCCTGTGTGCTTGACCTGGGGACACTCTGGATGCCTTGGACCCCCATTCCTGCTTCTGCCAGCCCCCAGCCCCACCTTTCTTCAAAACCAGAGACACCCTGAATTCTGCTTTCCCAGTCATCCTGTATGCCCCCAGTCTGTTACCCCCTTTTCTGGAAAAGCCTGGATTCCCCTTTCCTGGGCACCAGGATGCCCTTTAACCTCTCCAAGTCCCTGCCCCCCCATTTCCTTGACTCAGAGACCCCGTGGAACCCCCATTCCTGAGAACCGAGATGCACTTTTACCCCTTTTCCCAGCACTGAAACTCCCCTGCACCCCCTTATCCAGCACCGACTCAGCTTTTTCCGGCCACCCCACCTCTCCCAGCCCCACCCTTTTCCCTGATCCTGGGACCCCTGCGCCCCCATTCCTGCATTTGCCAGCCCCCAGTCCCTCCCTTCCTCACACTAAGAAGCCCTGACATCCCCTTTCCTGGGCACAGGATTCCCTGGACACCTCATCCCAGCTCTCCCAGTCCCTGCATCCCCCTTTCCTTAACTCTGAGCCCCTGAACCTCCTTCCCAGCTCTGCCAGCTTGTTGTGTCATTCCCCTCTGGCTGTCAGCTCTGGGAGTGCCCACTCCCCCCCCGCGCCACCAACGGTGTTAGTGCCAGAGGTTAAGGCTTTTTTTCTTTGCCCCCGCAACCTCCCTGCGGGGGGCTGGGTTTACCGTTGTTGGAGTTTTCCTCTTCCAGACCCCTCTGAGTCCTTGCCGACGCCGGGGGCCATGCTGACCCCCCTCCCCCTCTTCCCCGCTGCAGGGATGCAGCAGGGAGCCCGAGGGCCAGGTGGAAAGAAAGCGCTGCTGTAATTTCCAGCAGTTGGGGCCGCTCCGTGTTTCTCCGTCCCCAGCGTGGGAACATGCGAGGGACTCAGCCTTTTAGTTTATAGTGAACTGTTACCGCCGGTGGTCCCCGGGGCATTTCCGTCTCCTGTGTCCCATCTAAAGGAGGTTGAGTGACTACNCCCCACCCCGCATACCCAAGTCCCCCTCCCTGTGAGTTTACTCCTACACCTTTGTGGGCATTCGAAGGAGTCTGTGTCTGTTATTTCTTAGCGTGTTTAACCTTGATTTGTAGAAAGTTTGTAAGTTTTCTAGCTGTGAAAAATAAATAGTTCTTTCTGAAATACCCACTCTCTGAAGAAGTCCAGTTAAAAGAAGCAGCCCCAGATTCCCCAACCTTTGTCTCTTCCTGGAATTTCCCTTTGCAAGAATAAACTGTGAAATATAACTCAGAAGAGTCTGCCCTTTTGGCTTTTTCACTTGGTCAATAGACTTGTGCTCAGAGGGAATTGGTCTGCTCAAATCCTGAACTAAACCCAGACAGCAGCTCTGGTCAAGATCCCTCCTGGCTTTGGGCCGGAGACAGAATATTGAGAGAAAGAACTGCATTTGTTAAAGTTAACTTTGTGAGGTTTTTTTTCTTTCCGTTTTTTCCTCTCTGCGAGAGTATGTGCGGGATGACGAAGAAAGATAACAGCAGAGCTGCAGCACCAGCAGAGCGGGCAGTCATCCCCCCCCCCCCCCCCCCAAGAAAAGCACCAGGATAGTACCCAGTTTGTCAAAAAGTCATGATTTATGGGTTTTTATATACCTTTTAGAGTTAATTTTGTGTTTTAAGTAATTATGAGTTTATGCAGTTGCAGTTTTTAGAGTTTTACTAGAGAAATTATTGTGATTCTTTGAAAGTTTAAAAAGCCCCTTTTCAAAAAAAGGTGTTTAAGGTGAATATTAACAGAAGTTACCTTGCAATAATTAGTTTTAAAACCTAAGGTTAAAATATAGTATGATTTACAGCTACTAAGAAAACAACCTTCCAATTAACATTATCTACAAAAGAGATTTATGGTTTGAAAAATAATTAGTTAAGAGAACTTAACTGTACAAGACAAAGTTAAGTTAAAGCATGTATTATCTATTTGCTTGTTTTTTCCACAATTTTAATAAGGTAATTTCAATGTGAGTCCTTTTGTTATAAAAAATACGCATAACAGCATATATACCAATTTGGACTTCAGATTTTAATTAAAAATTGCACTTAATGTTTCTGGAAAGTGCTACAAAAGCTGAATGGCAACTTGCCAAATCCTGTGTTGTGGTTTTTCTCTAGAAAAACTGCACTTTAAAATCCTAACAAACTTAAGCATATACAAGGCAAATTCCTGTTATGAGCAAGTATTTTTAGTAACATTTGCAGTTATTGTGAATTGTTCTCAAAGCTAGATGACATAGAATTGTGATGTATTTGTTACATTTTTATAATCTTTATAGTGAATCCATGTTATTGCTATATTGTGTTTAAAAAGTATATATCAAAATTTTAGTTGCCTTTTTGTAGTAACAGAATGAGATTATGTTTTTATTTACTATAGATTAAGTGTTAATAGAATTAAGAAAAGTCAAGTTTTATTATGTTTAGGCTTGAATGTTTTTAAGTTAAGTTTTATAACTTGGATATTCTTTAAAGGTTAAGTTTTGTTATTTCAATTTGTCATAAATAATTTTTATCAGGCTTAAATATTGTTTAATTTAAATTGTTCTATGTTTTGTTAAAGATATTTGTTTAAACTGTATAGTTATTTTCCTAGAGAGATGAAGATAACTACAACTAAAACAGCTGTGATAGAACACTGATGAACCTGCTTGTGAATAGAAGTGAATGCAGTCTGTGACACCCTTGATTTCATCAGGAGTTCTATTGTTTGTTGCAATCTCTGCAGTTTTTTTTTAATAGCTTTATTATTTTTCAGTGTTTCTAGAATTCCAAGAAAATGTACCATTGCTGAGGGTCAGCTGCCACAGGAGAGGCTTTAGATCAAACCAACTGCTGAATGGTTTATTTGGTCTGTTACCTAAGGCTTCTGATCATTTGCTTTGTACAAATGCATTTCAACAATTTGCTGTGCTGTAAGCATCTCATAGCTGTTACTATTGAGAACCTTGTTTTGAAAATTAGTTTAAAGGCATCTTTCCAGTTTAAAGCCTAAGGCCCTGGTGTCGTGGTTTCAAAGCAGTAACTAAAAAAATTACTTGTTTCTTGCTGTGAGATATGGATTAGAACAAGAGCAAAACAGGCTTAAAACTTAAAAGGAATAAAGAAAGTTTATTAACAAAACTACAAGAATAAAAACACCAGAATAAACTTCCAGAATACTCTTTTACCCTTCACTACTTAACCATTCTTTTATACACGTGACAACATAGAGACAAAAAAACTTCGGAACTTTGGTGGTTAAAACAGTCCCAGTTCCTGCTAAAGGTCTTTTCATCAGTCTTTGTAGAGAAACAGAAGTCTTCTTCTGCTAATTTATGGAGTTTCTCACAAGAAAACTATTTCTGTTATAGTTTTCTATTTTTCTGATGCCAGCTGCCTGGAAATCTGTCATCAGGTCACTCCTCTCATTTCACATCACTCTGAGGTGTGTATGGGCCATGAGTCTAGGGATGTCATTTTTTAAGGATGAGTTATTCAAAGGCAAAAGTCTTCTTCATCTGTCTCTGTGAGCTTCCCTGGAAACAGTTTTCTCATTGCCCTCAAGGCCTCTAATCTTCGCTTCACTCTGTTCCAGCACTTCACTGTATCACAATTACTCTACTTTTTACTCAAAATCCATACTTTGAACACCCCATTCCTCCCAATATACTCTGCCATGAATTAAAGGAGTCTTTTTAAACCACTATTGTCCATCTCCATAGCTTAACAGAAAGATATTTCAGCTTAAAAAGCATCTCCTTATTCTCTCTTCCCCATCTAAAACTTAACTCTTTTCTCACTGTTTTTGGTGGTTTTATGGTGTCTTCTTTATGTTGATTGTCTCTTTCTTTCTCTGTCTCTCTGGGAAAAAAGGAGTAATCTGTACATTTTATCCAGGTAGTAAAAGAATTAAAGCTTTAGAAAAGCTGTAGATGTTCATGGTGTCAGGTTTCAGTCCAGCAGCAGAAACTACAA